CAATCACATGTTTCCCATCTCTAGCACAGCAGCCACAGGAACTGACAAATCTCACACATTCAGCAGCTTAAAGCAACACAAATATATCCACTTACACTTCTGGAGGGCTGAAAGGAGTCTTGCTGGGTTCCAGTGGAAGCATTGGCAAGGCTTCTTTTCTTCTGAAGCTCTAGGGGAGAATCCATTTTCCTTACTTTTCCTATTTCTACACTGTACCAGTATCCCTTGAGGCACAGCTCTTCCTCTCACCATTTCCTTAGCTCACGTCCTCCCACCTGCCGCCCTCTCATAAGGATCCTGGTGATAATATGGCTCCCACCTGGAGAATCCACCATCAATTTCCCCCATCCATTTCCCCATCCCATAATCTTTCATTTCATCACATCTGCAAAGTCCCCTTTGGCTACGTAAAGGAAAATAATCACAGTTTCCCAGGACAAGAATGTGTACCATCTCTAAGGTCTGTATCAATAGCCTGGCCTTTGCCTGCCAGTTAACTTCCCATTCTATTGACACTCGTCCAAAACTCAATGGAATCTAGCTGCTGATGAGGAAGAGCAGTTTGGAGCTCTGTGGATCTAACAAATTTGTCCTGTATATCCTTGTCTTCATTTCACCTGAATGTTTTTTTTGTTGTTGGTCATGCTGCTTGTACTCAGGGCCCTGGGCACTGTTCCTCTGTTATTTTTGCTCAAGGCTAATGCTCTACCACTTTGAGCCACAGCACCACTCCTTGTCTTCCTTTCATTACCCAGGCTAACCTTCTCTGGTCTTAACTCCTATTACCCTGATTCTTTATTATTATCTGTTGTCCTTTGCTCACAATAAAGTTCAAAACTCCTCACCTGAACAGCCCAAAGCTGCTTCTAAAACCTTGGCCCATACTTTATTTGGAATGAAATTATAAAAGTACTGATTTTGTATGGGGCCATTTTCATTCTCTGTCTCAGGCCTTGAACCTCTGGTTATTCTGAGTTGAAAACTGACTTGGCTGAAAAGGACTACAAAGGATGCCAAAGTGCTCACTGTTCTGTTGCAAAACCAAGCCCATCTGGGCAATTTTACAGCTGGCCCCTGCTTTAGACTATGATAATATGTGTGAAGTAATATAATCTTTTTTTTTTTTACAACTGCATGAAGAGCAATATGTGCATTTGTTTTCTGGAAAAAGGCAGAACTTTCCCAGTGATCTCTTTCTTGGTAAGAGTACTTTTAGGTAAACATAAAATATGAGTGTTTAAAACGTCTAGCTGGCTGGAAGAAGGTGGTTTAGTGGTAGATCACTTTGCCTAGTATGTATAAGGCCCTTGGCTGAGTCTCTACCACTGCCAAATAAACTCCAAACACCTTTGTCCCAAGTATTACTACTGAGAAGGCTGAGATTTGAGGATTGCTTTTCAAAGCCAGCCTGGGCAAGAAAGTTCATGAGACTCATCTCCAATTAAACACCAAAAAGCTGGAAGTGGAGCTATGACTGAAGTGGTAGAGCACTAACCTTGGAAAAAAGCTCAGGGACAGTGCCCAGACCTTGAGTTAAATACCAACACACACATGTGTGTGCATGCATGTGTGTGCGCTCTCTCTCTCTCTCACACACACACACACACACACACAAACTAAATATATATTGATGAGTAAACCAAATATTATAGCTTCTGATATCAAATTTTGTAGGACTGAAAATACAGTGTTATCAGAGGGGCATAATAAAGGAGAGTCTGTCCATTATGTACCACAGAAGTTGACATTTAAGCTGGAAAAGAGAAATCTTTGAGCCAACACATTTTAAGTTTGAAGGCCTGCCACAGGGATGTTCTTACACATCTGCAAGATGTAGAAAGGATCCTCAGTTGAGTGTGATATTGAATTGGCTGGCCAGTTGTTTCCTTGCAATGCTGTGATTCTAAAGGTCAGGAGATATGAGCTAGTTGTGCATCCAGAATTCTGGAAGAGTTGAGGAAAGAGCTAAAAGTACAATCTGCATTCCATGCTCTAGCAGCAAAATTCTATAAGTTAGCATGTAGAAAGGAACAAAGAAGGGATATGAAAGATCATTTGCAAAAAAAGTAGCATTGGTCGAGTGTCAATGTATCATACCTCTAATCCTAGCTATTTAGGAGGCTCAGGTCTGAGGATCACAGTTCAAAGCCAGCATGGGAAGTCCAGATTGTTTCCCCCTACCCACCCAGTATTAGATATTGAACCCAGAGTCTCATGCAGGCAAGTGCTCTACCACTTGAGCTTTGCCCCCACTCAGTGCTTTTCATTATTTATTTGGTGCCAATATTAAGTTTTTGAACTCAGGGCCTGGCACTTTGTTAGCTTTATTCACTCAAGGCTGGTATTCTACCACTTGATCCACACTTCTACTTCTGGCTTTATTAATGGTTAACATCTCTTAGATTTGTTTGCCCAGACTGGTTTCAAACCATGCTAAGAAGGCTATTACTTGAGCCACACTCCTAGCTCCTTTTGCTTCCATTATTTTTCAAATAAGGTCTGGTGTTTATGCCCAGGCTGGCCTGGAGTTCCCACATAGTTGGAATGACAGGTATTTACAGGTATTGCCCAATTCTATTGGTTGAGATGGGAGCCCTTGAAGTTTTTGCTCCCAGTAGCCTCGAACTCAAATCTTCCCTGTCTCTTCTGAGTAACTAGGATAAGACTGTAATGCTATAGACTGGGACCCATTGAGAATAAGATCTGGATTTTACATTTTTCAGGCAGCTAGTTGAGCAGGCTGGCTCCTATCACCAAAAACAGCAACACTAGCTATGTGTGGATTCTCAGGGCACTTTGAGCTTTGCTTGAGTTCTCTTACTAGGCTGATTCTGAGTCCTATCAGCTGCATCCCCCCTTTCCTACCTATCCCTAGTTACAGTATGCCATTTCCCCAAGAAATCTCTCAGCCTCCTTCTAGTGTGTTGCAGAAAGTTCATTTCACAATCATGAAGCACTCTTTGTGATCTGACTGGTACCGATTTGTCTAGCACTCTCCAGACTCAGCACATAAAGAAATGGTTCCCATTTCTCCTAACTACTGGGAGGTCTCCAAACACAGAAAACTATTTGACAGTCTTGATCCTTCCCTGATAATCACCTTCCTCCTTCTCATTAGATTTTGCTCTCCCACCACTGGAGACATTTGGCAATGTTTGAGGTGTGCTTGGTTGTCCCAATGGTGATAGGGTATTAATGGGATGGAGGAGGTGAAGGCCAGGGATATTGTTGAATACCTTGCAGTGTACATGGCAGCTCCCTCCCCACAACAGACCCATCTGGCCCCAAGCATCACTAGTGCTGAGGCCAAGAAGCCCTGCTCTTGCCGTACCCACAGCAGGGCACGGAAGCACCTGCTATGACTACAGGCTTTGGTTTGTGTTTGAATCATATTTATTTTGTTTCCCTGTTTAGGCACATGAACTTCTAATAATAAGGAGGAATGCCTTGATTTGAAATGTTAGTCATGTGTCACCTCAGGGGAAAATGCCTTCTGATTTCTGTCTGCATATCTAAGCATAAATTGCAACTCCAGTAATAAAAGGAGAGCTTGGCAAAAAAAAAGCACCCGAGGCTGATGAAGGTAATGCTTTTGTCTCGGGATAGGGGCTGAATGGGAAGCTAAATGTTCTTAGGGAGAAACTTGTCAATACTAAATTTGTTAATCCACCTTTGATGGATGTGCTAATCTCAGGTCAGCACAGGCTCACCCTGGCAATGCACCGCAATCACTTATTTAGAGGCAGCTGTTTTGGACAAATGGGCTATTCCATCAATTTTCAGACTTTCCACAGATGTATTCCCTTATTCAAAGAATATTTGCGACCTATAGTAAGAGCTCAATCATGAATTTGTACAACAAAGCAGATGGCAGAAGGGACTAGGTTTGGGAGCGATTGCTCTTTGCACTTAATTCTGCACAATATTCAAGCTCTGTAGAGAACAATGGAAATCTGACAGTGATTTTTCACTCTATTCGAGCAGAGGCTGACAAACTACCACTTTAAGACCAAATCTTGTTTGTATAAAGTTTTATTGAAACTCAGCCATACATTTTTTTGTTTACTTACTATCTATGGCTGCTTGGTCACTATGAGGGCAGGGTTGAATAGTCACAACAAACTCTATGTAGTCTGAAAAGTCAAAAGGATTTCCTCTCTGGCTCTTTACAGGACATGTAGGTGCCCTGAATTGGTGACAAGTGGTATTTGTCTCATGGTTTTCAGTGGGGGCTACAGCAGTCAGAGAATGCATTTGATTTATTTAAGGCTTTTGTAATGCTCAGTGGATTAAAGGAAGGAAATTGAAAAAGGGCAAAGATCTAGGCAATTATCTCTTGCAAGAAATTTAATAACTGAACACCTTCGTGATAACATAAAAACTGATATAGCCAGGTACCCGTAGCTTACGCCTATAATCCTACTTAGTCAGGAGGCTAAGAACTAAGGATCTTGGTTCAAGGATATATGGGCAGACAAATCCTTGAGACTCTTTTTTTTTTTTTTTGTCGGCCGTGGGGCTTGAACTCTGGGCCTGGGCGTTGTCCCTCAGCTCTTCAGCTCAAGGCGAGCGCTCTACCACTTGAGCTACAGCGCCACTTCCCTTGAGACTCTTATTTCTAATTAAAGAGTAAGAAGCTGGAAGCAGAGGTGTGGCTCAAGTGGTAGAGCACCAGTTCTGAGCAAAAAAAAAAAATGCCAGAGTGTGATGCCTTTAGGTCAAGCCCAAGAACTAGCAATAAAAACCCAAAAAACAACAACCAAAAACAATAACAACAACAAAAACCTGGTGAAATGTATACGATATTATCAAGGCAAAGCCTATGTAAGCAACAGTATAGATTTCTAAGTGGCTAACATCCCATCAACCCACAAAGTGCTCTCTGGGACTCTGGCAGACATGTTATAGCTTAGTGCCAAGGCCTCTTTCCCTGAGAAATGCATGGGAGAGATGAAGAGGATGGATGCAAAGGGAAGGGGATGAGGCTGGGTACGCTGTTCAGGAAGCATCCCCTGAAGTCCCCGTGCCTAGGGCTTAGAACTTGAGGGGAATGACAGGCCAGTATTTAGGCTGATGTTTGTCACAGTGCTTGTCAAAGCTTAACTGCACTGCAGTCTCCATGGCCTGTATCTTGGCAGCGCTCTTTCCATACAAGATCTTCATCTCAGCCTTGCGCCGCTCACCAGGCTTCTCGGTTGGAGGCTTCACTGTGGGGCGCATATAGTACAGGCCGTGGTCAGCATTCACGTACTCCAGTAGGCGTTCTGCATCCAGTTCCCGCTGCCGCCCTGGGAACAGACACTAACGTGAACACACATGCATGTCCAAACACACCTGGGGCATGAGAAGGTGCGGTGGGCATTGTCTGAGGCCCCTATGGTTCCTCAGCATTTCCTTCCCCACTGGGACATCAACCAGCTGTGCCAGCTGACATGCTCTCTAGAACCCGAGGCCTGACCTGTAGATTTTAGTATTTGCTTAGAGGTGATGATTGAAATGGCAAAGGCCATAAAGAAACCTGTCACTCCAAGCCACCAAACCTCTGAAACATATCCTAAAAACACAGGAGGAAAAATGAAACCACCTGGCTTTCTTTTATTTGCCCAGCCACGAATGGCGGAGGGGACTTGGTTGCTTTCTCATATTGATCTGGGCAACCACAGCATGGAAATAAAAGGCTTATAGCCCAGTGTTGCAAAAAGCAGTATTCACTACCACAAATAGTGCAATCGGGGCTCGGTTTCCTCACTGGGGGAAGCCAAGCCCTCCATTAGCTGCGATGAAACAGCAGGTGCAAATCCTATTTATTGAACTGCATTCCTGTAATGGAAGAAATGGTTATTCAATTTTATTTTCCCCTACTTTCTATTTTAATGTAGTGAGTCCCAATATCAGAATTTTCACTCTTATATAAAGAGCAACATAAAAATGTTAACATTACAAGGCTGCATTAAGGTAACATCGACACAACTTACAGATCTTGTAAGTGACTCTGTCAGGAGAGAAATATATAGCAGAAAGCACATTATCTCCAGCGACTATTGCCACCAAGAGAAATGCCACTAGATAAGGAGTGAGATGGTTGTGGGGAATAAAACAATGATATAAATCATCCTTTCCTTGTTGGTCCTCTTTCCAGAAGTCTCTGGAAGGGAACACAGCAGTGAGCTAATCAAGTGTGAAGGGAAGGTGTCTTTATGGCTCCACACAGTTGCTCTCATAAATCCTGCTCTTTATAACCACCAGCTTGGAGTTGCAGGAAGGTGTTTTATAAACTTGGAAACATTAAGACTGGGATATGGCCACATGTATTTGGCCACTGATGACTTACATCATTGGTACTCAACGTTTACATATGGGAATAACATGTAGATCAGCCAAATGACTGTCATACAAACAAATGTCCTCTAGCTATTACCCATAGAAATGAACTTTCAATTCCTTGTGAGATGCAGAACTAAACCAAAACTGGTTTAATAGGTAAATAAACTGGAGACCAACAAGCATGTGCTTCTAAATATTGGATGTTGGTCTTTTTGTTAAATTTGAAATGGCAATATTTAAGTTGCTTGCTTCTCACAGATAGTTTTTCCTGCCCCCCACCCCCAACTTGCAGTAAGTTCTGGTGACATGGTATGGCAGCAATGAACTGGGTCTAAATTAGCCAGAGAAAAGAGTCACTCAGATATTTCTAGGGAGGGAGGAAGGGAGGGAGAGAGAGGGAGGAGGGGAGAGAGGAGGGAGGGAGAGAGGGGGAAAGGGAGGGGGGAAGAGAGAAAGAGAGAGAGACAGAGAGAGAGAGAGAGAGAGAGAGCACCAAAACTCAAAAGCACTCAGGTTGCATCTGACCCTTATTTTCACAAGCCCTATGTGTACCTGGGGCGGAAGCCTGGCTTGGGCTTCTTCCTGGGCACATCTCCTTTTTCCTGCCCCTGTTCCTGGAATGATTCAACTCCTGTTCTTCTGGCAGGGCTTTGAAGGAAAGCATAGCTTGCTAGATGTTTACAGAAGGAAGAGGAAAGGCAATGCAGGCATCCACTATTCAGTAGTTACAGCACTTCGTAAGAACCCTAGTCTGGCAGTATAATAGGCTACTGGTGGGCCTGTGGACTGTCCATTAAAGGTGAATTAGAGAGAAGGACCTCTTACTCAAGGACTCCTCTGAAGGTTTGACATTCCCATATCAGCACAACAGATTTCTTGCGCCATTCACGAGTTGCCTTGTACATGTGATGGATGCTTGTTAATATCTTTGGGAGGAGGTAATTCCACATTCAGGGATGCTAAGTGTTTTAGTGCTTCCCATCCAGAAAACAGGGCCTGAGAAGAAGGTTCCCACACCACTGTCATATCCCTCTTGAACGTGTCCTGAGACTATAATCAGCTTTACTGTCAGATTTGGTCACACGACAGATACTCAAAGTCATGCTAAATCTGAGCATTTGAGTTTATAGGTTTAACAAATCCTGAGATCTCAGCTATCTTAATAGCTAATAGTTCTTTGCTGTTTGAATATGTGAATTTAGCCTTTCTATTTCTTTATTTTCCTTTCCTTTCCAATTTCTAACATTTATAATTATGCTTCTTTTTGTTACTCTTCTGACATAATCTATTTTTTTTCTTTTCTTTTTTTTTTTTTTTGTCAGTCGTGGGGCTTGAACTCTGGGCCTGGGCTCTGTCCCTGAGCTCTTCAGCTCAAGTCAAGCGCTCTACCACTTGAGCCACAGCACCACTTCCAGTTTTCTGGTGGTTTATTGGAGATAAGAATCTCATGGGCTTTCCTGCCTGGACTAGCTTGAAACGTGATCCTCAGATCTCAGCCTCCTTAGTAGCTAGGATTACAGAAGTGAACCACCAGTGCCCGGCTGACAGAATCTATCTTATAGATATTAAGCAAGCAAAAACAATTCTGTGTTGACATCAGTGAATGAAATTCACGGAACACGAAGCAGGCTGCCATAGCAGTCACGGAAGCCCACACAATGTTCTACCACACAGTCAGCATTTGCTCAAAAGACCTTAGCTCTTAAAAGGTTAAAGTGGAAGCTGGGTGTTAGTGGCTCACGCCTATGATCCTAGATAATCAGGAGGCTGAAATCTGAGGATCGTGGTTTGAAGCCAGCTCAGAAAAATCCACGAGACTATTATTCTTCAATTAAGTACCAATAAAGCCTAAAATGGAGCTGTGGCTCAAGTTGCAGTGTGCTATCCTTGAGAAAAACAAAAGCTCAAGGACAGTGCCCAGGCCTTGGGTTCAAGCCTCAGGACCTGATCAATAAGGACACAACCTTCTGTCTGTATTTTCTACTAGTATTTCCTTCCCATTCAGGCTTCCTCATCAATAGTGAAGGTTCAGCTCTTATCCCCTCTGTGTGACTCAGATGATTCCAAGGGTCCAGTTTCCCCGCATTGGGACGGTTGCTATGCAACACTGACCCACAGGGTGCAAAGCCTGTCAGTGCAGATGAGCCTGTGATCTGCTCTGAGAACTAGCTGGGGGTGGGGGAAGCGGTGTGAGGGAAAGCATACCTCACCTTTATTGGCTGCTGTGTCACTAGCCCCAGGAGGCTAGCATGCCTGCCACAAAGCAAGTGCACAGGAAGTGGCTGTCCAATGACTGCTAGGACAAAGGCCATGCATTACTTTTTGTAAACAACTCTTCCTCTCAGATGCTGCTAAAGAAAAATGAGGACAACCCAGGGATAGAGAAACAGATGGTCAAATGTCACATGCTAGCATGGGCAAGGATCCGTTCCTTGTGGTTCCCCAGGGCCTCTCCAACATAAGGACTTTTTTTTTGTGGACTGGGGGAGTGGGTAAGAGCAGGGAAGCAGCACAGAATTAGGAGAGAACCCTGTTTCCTTACATTCAAGTTGCTTCACCTCTACTTAATTAAAAAAAAACTCTATTCTAAGATTTTATTACAAATCTGAGAAGCAGTTTTTAAACCAAATATTCTCAGATTGGCTGTGTGTAGGTGATCACAGATAATATCTGAAAGTACATACTGACAGGAGAGAACCAAGTAAAACTTAGAATGGAATATGCCAGTTTGAAGGCCTTTGTTTAGTCTGTCTTCTATTTATTACTTCTGTCTTTCCTCCCATGGGAAGAAAGAGTCCCCCCCCGCCCCCCCGCCCCAGCAGATTTTCTTCCTTTCGAGGCGAGGGCTAGTCAGGTGGAGAACCATCCAACTAAAGCTGAGAAATACTAATAACACATTTCAGACATAACAGTTGCCTTGCATGGACAGTTATATCATTTCTACTGAAAGGAGGTCTAAACTCACCTGTATGTGTACCTGCATGCACACCAGTATTGGGACTTAATAAACTCAGGGCCTGGGCACTATCCTTTAGCTTTTTCACTCAACGTTGGTTAATAATCTGCCATTTGAGCCAAAACTCCACTTCCAGCTTTTTGGTGGTTATCTGAAGAGTCTCATGGACTTTCCTACCTGGGCTGGCTTCCAACTGAGATCCTCAGATCTCAGTCTCCTGAGTAGCTAAGATTACAGGTATGAGCCACTGGTGTCCAGGTGAGTATCCCTATGCAAAGCATTAAAAGGAAAATAAGACACAGGGGGAAAGACATGTACAGATGGAAGCAGAGTTCAGAGTGATGCTGTCACAGTCAAGACCTGCAAGGAGACATCAGAAGCAGGCCCCTAGAGACTTTGGAGGAAAATGGTTCTGCTGACACCCTGATTTCAGAAATTGTAGAAGGATGAGAGAAGTTCTATTATTTTTTTTGTAATTAAATTTGTAGTACTTTGCCACAGGAATCCTAGGAAATGAATACAAGGATTAATATGCATTTAAGATTAAAACAAGAGGCTGGGCGCCAGTGGCTCAGTATATAATCCTAGCTACTCAGGAGGCTGAGATCTGAGGATTATAGTTCAAAGCCAGCCCTAGCAGGAAAGTCCATGAGACTTTTATTTCCAATTAACCACCAGAAACCTGGTGCTGTAGCTCAAGTGGTAGAGTGCTTGCCTTAAGCTGAAGAGCTCAGGGATAGTGCCCAGGCCCAGAGTTCAAGCCCCAAGCCCAACAAAAAAAAAAAAAAAAAAAAAGATTAAAACAAGAAAAGCAGTCAAATCTCTACTGGCTTCCATTGAGGTTGAGGCGGTATATTCTGTTTTTGATTACATGCACTGTTTTTGTTGGTCTTGGGGCTCGAACTCAGGGATTGAGTGCTGTCTCTCTCTGAGCTTCATTTGCTCGTCTAGCACTCTATCACTTGAGCCACAGTTCCACTTTTGGCTTTTTTTTTTTTTTTTGGTAATTTATTGAGTATCTCATAAACTTTCCTGCCTGGGCTGGCTTCAAACTGTGATCCTCTTATCTCAGCCTCCTCAGTAGCTATGATTACAAGTGGGAACCACCGATGTCCAGCTTTACATACAAATTTTATTTGTCAATTACATTGCAATAAAGCCAGGGACTATGAAAAGTCACAGACAGGGGCCAAATATTTTCACATCATTTATCAAATAAAGGATTTCTCTTCAAGTCATTGCACATCATCTCTTATTGATCTCTGCTAGGCCTGCTCTAGGTAGAAGTGATTCTGTGGTAAATGAAGTCCAGTCACTATAGGTGTATATAATCTTGACCTTTTTTATAAACCTACATATTACTAAAGTAGACTTATGAAACATAAATGAAATCAAAACACAGAAGTTACTCAGACTTTAAGAAAATCTTATATAGCAGGAAAACATTCATTTAGTATTCCACAGATAATTAGCCCAAAGGTAGAACACTGAGCAGGAGAGCAGTAAGATAATGAGTGTGAAGAATGGCATTCCCTGCCACTTTCTAGGATCAACATGTCTTTCTGATGAGATTAGTTATTATGTTGCCAAAATTACTGATCATAGTGTAACCCAAGGAAAACATAGACTTGATTAGTTGAGACTGCCTCATTTCTGGCTTGTCAGCAACATATCAGAACACAGGTGTCTGCCAGCAGAACTGGAGCCATTTTCCACTGGTTTCTTCATCCTGTGTCCTTCGTTCCAAGACAAATGTAACCCTGAATTTCACCGACAAATCAGCATTTTCACTCTTACAAGAAAAGTGTATTGAAACAATTCCCTTCCACATCTACCATCACACTGACCGGTTTTCAGTAATTTTTAACATTTGAACTAGATAAAACAAATGTCCAGAGTGGGACTGTGCTCCATAACTGTAATTTCATACTTCAACTCCACTGTCCTAAAACAGCTCAGGAGCCTGGTGCCAGTGACTCGCACCTGTAATCTTAGCTACTCAGGAGGCTGAGATCTGAGAATTGCAGTTTAAAGCCAGCGTGGGCAGGAAAGACCATGAGACTCATCTCCAATTAACCACCAAAAGCTGGAAATGGATCTGTGGCTTAAGTGGTAGAGCACTAACCTTGGGCAGAAAAAACTAAGGGATAGCACTCAGGCCCTGTGTTCAAGTCCCAGTACTGGCATAAAAAAAGAATCTTGTGCTGGGAAGGTGGCTCAGTAGTAGAGTGCTTGAGGCCCTGGGTTCGATTCCTCAGCACCACATAAACAGAAAAAGCCAGAAGTGGCGCTGTGGCTTAAGTGGTAGAGCACTAGCCTTGAGCTGAAGAGCTGAGGGACAGCGCCTAAGCCCAGAGTTCTAGCCCCAAGACCAACAATAGCAACAAAAAGAATCTTGTTTTGTAATTGAAGATAAAAGGTCTTTACTGAAATGCTCTGCCAGTGCAGAACCAAACAGAGCAGCTCTAAGTGCCTGGCATTTCATTAGTCTGCTTAGGTTCATGCTGATCTCTATGCTGAAGGGAGCAATTTAAGATGTGGGAGCTCGTTGCAATGTCTTCCAAAAAAATGGAGTACAGTATTTCAGAAACTCAGAAAGTGCAGGGAGAGGCCCTGGCAGAGCAAGAGGCAAGGGAAGTGGATAGAGTCAGGCAGACAAGACTTGAATACTAACAGCAAATGACTGCTGAGTTATTAACCAACTCGAGGTTGCTTTCCTCATTTGTAAAATGGATTCAATATCTTGAAGACTATAGTGTAGATTAGAGATGGCACACACACACACACACACACACACACACACACACACACACACACACACACACACACACCCATACATACGCCATCTGGTGAAGCAAATATCTTTGGTAAATGGTAGAGGAATTAGGATAAGCTTTATTTCAGAACTAAAATAATCATTCATTAAACAACTCTAACAATATAACTGAAGTATAACACATTATGATCGCTTTTCATAACTCAGGACTGGATATAGAATATTACTTGTACCCAAACAAAGAGTTACACAAATTATTCTGTGTGTTTAGATTAAGAAAAAAGGCAAAGAGAGATCCAGGCAAGGAAAGGAAGCCTGAGGACAGGTCTGAACTTACGCCGCTCTTCTCTGTGCCTTTCAGTCTCTGCAAAATACTGGCGGAGTTCCTCAGTGATTTCCATATTGCTTAGGTCGCACACTATCTCATCTTCAGACTCTGTCTCCATCTCTTCTTCTTCTTCAAACCAAGTTTGGTCTTCACTTATAGAAGCCTGGATCTGATTGCCATTACATGGAGGCTGTTCAGACCTTCCAAACTGTGAGTTACTGTAATATGAGTTCTGCCAGTAGTAACCATAGAAGGACTGAGGATAGCCAGCCCAAGAGCTGTAGGGAAATGCTGTGGGAGGGCAGTACCACAGCGAATGGAAATAGGACTCCACAGCCTTTCTGTAAGCCCTCCGGTGGCTTCTCATCCAAGCCATTGCTTGGTGATAATGTTCCCAGTATCTTGCATATGCTGGATGAGATATGAGGGCTCCGGATGTTGATGCCTACAAAATGAGGGGAAATGTGTGGCAGAAACCAGATTATCCTCCGAAGAAATCTTAAAACATTTAATTGACTAAGTAACAAGATATTTACTGTGTATCTACTAACAACTACTCTATACAAGGAAGATGTTACTAGGTCAAAAAAGGTCTGCTAGATCTGTACCTATGACAGAAACCAAGTATATACATACTTCATCTCTGTATATGTGAATATTAGGGACTTATGGGAGAATTAATTCCAGGTTAGGGAGCCTTACAGTGCGATGACAGAATCTAATAATGAACATTTCTAGGTAAGATGTGGGGAAAGATTTAAGACCCATTTTTTATCGTCTTAGCCATATTTCCTAGTTCCAAGTTAGAAATGGTGTTCCAATTATAACTGATGACCATGATAATCTTTACTACTTCTATTACCTGTTAGGCACAGCCCAGTGTTTAATATCTGAGTCACGAGTTGTCTAGACACGTACTAGATGTGCTTCTACTGTTTTGATATGCAGTTTGAGAATCCCTTAGCTATAAGGCTGAATCAAAAGTATTTCAGAGTTTGGTGTTTCTTGGATTCTAAAATCTGTGCATAGATTTTACAAACTGAACATTTAGAATCTGAAAATGCAGGATCTGAAACCTTTGAAGCGTCATATTGGTGCTCAAAAGTTTATTTCAGAGCTTTTGGGTTTTTTGATGCTCTATCCCTGTATCTTTGGTCTCTATCATGAAACAAGAATTTCAGGTTACTTTCTTTTTCTTGTGGTACTATAGATTGAGACTCAAACCTAGGGCATTGAAAAGTGCTCTGCCACTAAGCTATACTCACATCAATAATTTAAAGACTAATTTGCATAGACTTAAAAAAGAGTAAGAATGGGCTGGGAAGGTGGCTCAGCGGTAGAGTGCTTGTCTTGCATGCATGAGGCCCTGGGTACAATTCCTCAGCACCACATAAGCAGAAAAAGCCAGAAGTGGTGCTGTGGCTCAGGTGTTAGAGTGCTAGCCTTGAGCTGAAAGCTGAGGGACAGCGCCCAGGCCCAGAGTTCAGGCCCCACGACCAGCAAAAAAAAAAAAAAAAAAAAAAAAAAAGAGTAAGAAGTTAAGGACTAATTATTTAATTCATGAGAAAAAAAGGTAATCTTACCATTGCTCCTATCAGACTGGGAAAGTCCAAGTAGGCACTGAAAACAGAAAAGAACAGCCATTGTAAGCATCTATCTGATAAGTACAGCTGTGGAAATGTTCATGGTTATGTTGTGGTTTGCAGAGCAGCTAGTCCCTGGGAGGCTGCCTGCCACCAGCATGCTCAAACTTCACAAACATGCTATCCACTTGTGGTGGGTAAAGGAGATCTCCTTAGGCACAATTAAATGGCCAAATGGCCTTCATGGTTTGCATTCAATTAATTGTCAAGTTTATGGAAATAAATATAGAAATACTTAGTAGTCTGTATGCATATACAAAAGAGTACATACAGGACACAAACTAAAAAGTTAGAGTGATTATTTACCAGTCCTTAGCAGGTTGATGTGTACTTAAGATAACTCTGGGTCCTTCTGAGCCTTCAGAAGAATCTATCTTTCCAACTGACTGGAAATCTCTGCAGGATCTTGCCCTAGCTTTCTGACTGCAGAAGCATCTTCAAACAAGACATCCGTCCAGCCTCACGTGGGCTTGGTTGAGGCTTTTTTATATTGTGAAGATACTGTACAGAGAAGTTACAGTTACATGAGTAAGGTAATGAGTACATTTCTTATCGAGCATTGTTACTCCCTCCTTTGTTTTTCCCCTACTATCCCTTCCTTTCCTACATCCTCAACTCTTTCCTTCCCCCGCATCTCCACTCCCCACCCCCTGAAGTTGTAAAGTTCATTTTCAACATAGTGTCTTGTACTTCTCATTGTTAAATGGGTCAGCCTGTATCCTTATTTCAGCATTTTGTTATTTCCCTTCCCCTCCCCAAATTAGGAAAATGTATATACAAGATGCATATACAAGATCTCCCCCCATTCAAGTGTTCAATTATTAAATACCTGGTTACACTAGAATGTACTTAATGCATGTGCACTTAAACTTCTGTGAGATAAAACTGCTAACAACAAAAACATAGGTTTTTAAACTCTGGAAATGAGATACTAAAGGAGTCTTAGTTTTTGTATTTCACTTTACTAGAAGATATAATTAAAACAAAACACCTCAAAATCTTACAAAATAGTTACTTTGTAATCTCTGTAAGATGCTTTGATATGATTATGCAAAAAAACTGAGACGTTAAATTCACTACATCTATCTTTTAAGATTGAACCTAAAGAGAACTATTCATAACTTTTCATATATAACAAGCTTCCAAAAAGGCTATTTCTTGGAGGGCCGACATACTCAATACATCCTATTTACCATCCAAAACTCAGTATTGCACACACATGCAGTGACTATAAACTAGAAAGTAGTTAGCAAAAGTAGTGGAAGTAGAAACTGAGTTCACAGTACTTTCCATCTATAATGTAAAAGTTTTAAATATGAGCAATCACCCGAAAACCTAGCTAATGTCTTTGTGCTTTATAGACTATGTGAGGAATATAAAATGGTCAATTCTTGGGCATCTTACCATTCAGAGAAACAAAACTAACACAAATGGATTATGATAGGAATCAGTCTATACTTGAGTACTAAGTTGTAAAGTGTAGCCTCTAAGTGGCTGATTATTACAGGCAGGTTTTGTATTTCTAACAGTAATAGTACAATCTAAATAGCTTTCTGAGAAGCTTGAAGTACATAAAAATATTAAATGAACTCCATGTGTCTTAATCAAATTTGTTTCATAGATTAGCAAGTAGCACACAAATTAAATTAGAAAAGTCTAGGAGACATCTGTGTGCTTTCAGAAAATTAAGAATTTTGAATCCCAGCAGGATTATGGCAGAAATCTGTGAACCCCAGCATTAGTAAAGCAGAGATAGGAGGATCATGAGTTTGAGGCCAGTCTGGGTTACAAAGAAAGACTGTCTCATAAAATAAAACAACTTTGAATTTAGACTTCTTCCAATGACTCATAAAATATTTAAAACCAAGCCAGTCAATTGAGAATTTGGATAGGTTCAAATTGACCAAATTCTGTTTTCTTTTTCTTTTGATGCCAGTCCTGAGGCTTGAACTCAGATGCTGTTTCTTTTATGCCCCATTTCTGGCTTTTTACTGGTCAATTGGAGATACACATCTCACTAGCTTCAAACCTCAGCTACCTTCAAACCTCAACCCTGAGATCTTAGCCTTCTGAGTAGCTAATTACAGGTAGGAGCCACCAGAGCCCAGCAGTGCATGATTTCTGACTGAGACCCTGCTACTTGGCATTGCTAGACAGGACATTAGGACACAAAGCAGGATGAAGTTCTGGGTACCTATGCCTCAGAAGGAATATATTCTTTCTAAGTCACCAGTTCATCAGTTCCTATCAAGTTAGCTCCTCAGGTAAGAAAATCCTCTCTGAAAATAGGTCCTTTCAAAACGCTGGCTATTTCTTTCCATATAAAGAGCTTCAGGACCTAATAAGAATGCCTAGGATTCTGTAAACATTAAAAGTCCAACAAACTCAGCACTAGGAAAGGGGTACATGTAAGAGGGGGCATAGGGCCAAGGGGAAGGGGAGAGTGAAGGGGGCGGGAAGATGAATGCAGTCAAGAGTTTACTGTGTCTACCACACAATTAAGTAAGGGAAGGAATGAGTAGAAGGGGAGGTGAGAATGTTGAAGGTGGTGACGGTGATCAAGATGCATTGTATTGATGCACTGCTTTGTTAAATGGCATCTCCACTGTACAACTACTTAGAGACAATACAGTATTTTTATAAAAGAAAAACATAAACAAAAACAAGCAACCCTAGGCACTTTAGCAACATTTTCAGACAAAAGGAAGAAAGCTTGTGGGTATGGCAGGTTTCAAAGCCCATTCCGTGGATCTTTCATTTGAATCTCTTATTCTCCATCTCCCTAGGAACTTCTCCTTTCATGGCACAAGGCTTCAGGGCTGAACAACAACTTGCCTCCTAATGGGCTGGCAGAGAGGAGAAAAGGGATTGGCAATGTCAGGGAAAACCGGATCCAAGCTCTACAAGCTGTGCAGCGCTCCCCAGAAAGCACAATGGCATCATGGTCACTACCCAGCTGAGCCCCTGGGAGTAACAGAGGCAACTCATTGTCCTCTCCAAAGGAGGAAGGAAAAAAACAGGGTTGAGGTCATTCACTAAACACTGCTGAGGCCTACAGACGGACAGAGCCCCAGTCTTGAATGACGCATTTTCCCATCTAGCTACACTAAAATATGCATTTATTTGGCAGTGAATCTACTTATTCTGGTAGATATATTTTTAAATGTATGAATACAGATGTAATGTTCAGTGAATACTATGTGACTCCTATTAGGTTTCTAAAAAATTCCACAGATAAGTAATGTGGCTTTGATAGAAAAAGCAGTGGCATCACACCTATATTTATTACACACACACACACACACACACACACACACACATATTTACGCTTGACCTCATGGCCTTGTGTTTTCATTTTGTTTTCTTGTTCACAGCTGGTGCTCTACCACTTGAGCCATGCCTCCACCTTGGATTTTTCTTAATTGGTTAATTAGAGATAAAGCCAGACTTTTCTGCCCAGGCTGGCCTTGAACTGTGACCTTCCAGGTCTTAGCCTCCAGAGTACCTAGAATTACAGGCATGAACCACAGGCATCCAAATGGCTGGGCACTGTCCCTGAGCTACAGCTTCACTCCAGGCTTTTTTGGGAGGTAGTTTATTGGAAATAAGCATCCTATGGACTTACCTGCCTAGGTGGGCTTCAAACTGTGATTCTTCTCAGATCTCAAGCTACCTGAGCAGTTAGGATTATAGGCATGAGCCACTAGCATGCGGCTCATATTTATATTATTATAAAAATAGGACCTATGATTTGTCTCAACAAGCAGGTAAGTAACAATTTTCTATAGAATTCTTAAAACTAAATACTAAAACTAAAATTAAAGACTTATTTTCTTTGACTTTTACACAGAATCGTATTGAAAGTCAATCATCAACTCAGTTACTCTGGCTAAAACTCTGAAAGGCAAACCTTTTCTATAAAGGTTCCCATGAATTTTGCTCTTTGAGTCAGCTATATTATTCTTGGGGATTTAAGTCCTCAAATTCACTGTTTTAAAGTTGAATGGTGTCTGCAACAAAATAAACGAAGACCTGATAAGAAACCTGACTTTACGTAAACTGTGTCATATGTGATTCTAGCAATGTCTGTAGTGCAATGCTAAACCGCAGCAAACACGCCTTTCGAAATATAAACACTGGCAAGACAGACATTCAGTTACGGAAAACTAATATAAGAGACATTTGAGAGCACTGCTTCTTGCCCACCTTCTCAGGCAAGCCTTGCTGCCACCCCTAGCTGGCTGCTAGGCTGGCAAACATACCCAGCTTGATGTCCTCTTGGGCTCCCTCCTGTGGCTCTGCATGGTCCCTGCCTAGTGATTTGGGCATCAAAGATGGCCTAAGTATGAAAGGCCTTCTCCTACCCACAGGGGTCCAAACTCCATCTTTCCACTACTGCAAGTACACAAGCCAGTATGTTTAGAAAACCTGCACTTTCCCATCTATAACAGCCAGCTTAAAAGTTAAAGGGTGAGGGACCCCCCCCCCCCACCAGCAAAACCTCCTTGATTTCCTTTTTCTTCTTTTAACAGCAAGCCCCAGTTTACTCTTCTGGATGTTGTAGTAAGTACTGTCACAAACAAAGCACTGGCATGGGGAAGAAGACTGAAAGAAAGGATGTATTTAACAATTCCACTCCCCCCCCCCCCCCATACCAATGACATCCCAGCCACAGAAGGGCATTGTTTAATCTGTCAGTAAGGGTGATTAATTTGCAAGTTCACCGAGTCTGTATGTAGCTAGCCTCAGAGTCAGAAGTGAACTAGGAGGCAGTTACCTCTCACTCATGAATATATGAGCTAAAGGGAGAACTGAAAACTAGGATAATGAAAGTGACACAATGAAAATACAGTTCAACTCAAAAAATTAAACCACCCAACAACAAATCCTCAAAGAAACAACTGCCCAATAAGTAAGTCGGAGAAAGACTTAAAGAGAAGCTTCTCTGAAGAAGAAAGAAGGATGGCCAATAGACACATGAAGAAATGTTCAACATCCCTAGCCATAAAAGAAATGCAAATCAAAACAACCTTGAGATATCACCTCACTCCAGTTAGAACAGCAAAAATCAAGAACTCTAACAACAACAGATGCTGGAGGGGATGTGGACAGAAAGGAACCTTACTTCATTGTTGGTGGGAATGTAAACTTGTTCAACCACTTTGGAAAGCAGTATGGAGGTTCCTCAAAAGACTCCACATAGAGCTCCCCAATGACCCAGCAATCCCACTTTTGGGCATTTACCCAAATGATCACAAACAAGGCCACACTAAAGCTACCAGCACAACTATGTTTATTGCAGCATTATTTACCATAGCTAAGATATGGAACCAACCCAGATGCCCCTCAGTAGATGAATGGATCAAGAAGATGTGGTATATATACACAATGGAATTCTATGCCTCCATCAGAAAGAATGACATTGCCCCATTTGTTAGGAAATGGAAAGGCTTGGAAAAAATTATATTAAGTGAAGTAAGCCAGGTCCAAAGAAACATAGGTCCCACGGTTTCCCTTATTTGCAATATCTAGTATAGGTATGAGTCAAGCGGAAAAAGTCAGAGAATGTGATGTTAGGAAAACGAACCCTCAAATATGTATTTTAATGTTTTTGTTTCTTTCATGCATGTGTGTCTAACACATTCATAAGATTATTTCTTTGTTGCTTTGTATGTCCCTCCCCCACAGTGTAACCCCCGCTTTCACTATATTTGATGTCAGTATAACATGTGGAGGAGACGGGGACAAACAAGTCGTTTAAGGATTCAGGTGGACCTGTTGCAACAATGAGAAGTACAAAATGTCATGGCAAAACCAGCTTTACAATGTCGGTGGGGGGGGGGGAGGGGTATGATTGGGTGGGGGGGGGAGGGGGGAGGCTGGGAAGGGAGGTGAAGGGTAAATAAAGGAGGAGGCTGCAATGCTTGGTAAGAAATGTATGCATTATCCTGCCCATGTAATTGTAACCCCTCTGTACAATATGTTCTCAAATAAAATAAAATAAAATTTAAAAAAAAAAAAAAGAAAATACAGTTCAAAACAACAACTACAAATCCAGATTTGGGGGTTGGAATGTGATTTAGTGGTAGAGTGCTTGCCTAGCATGCACTGTGGCTCAAGTGGTAGAGTGCTAGCCTTGAGCAAAAGCAGCTCAGGGACAGCATCCGGGCCCCGAGTTCAAGCCCCAGGACTGGCAAAAAAAAAATCCAGATTAAGTTGGCTTCACTTCAGGCCTATCAGTCACGTAGCAAAACCTGGTGTGAGCATAGCAAAGTAAGACCAGAATTAGCAGGCATTGCAAATTGAAGACCTATCAGCAAAAATTGTGACTACTTCAAGTGGCTAAGACTACTTTTACATTTTCACAGTCTTAAAGTTTATTTCCCCCTCTGTAAACATATTCATGCTAATTCCATGTTAATCTCTGCTTTCTGATTAGAAGACTCATACTCCAACCCATCTGGGCACTTAATTATAATTTGTTCCTTGTACTTTTCTCATTATCCTTGCAGTATAAAAATAATAGCTATTAACTCCTGCCCTTGGATGCTACTGAGATTGTTATAATCTCCTAACATTCTTTCTTCCAAATGATCGAGGAGCTGTTAACTCAAATAACTGACTTTAAGGCCCCAAATCTTTTCAGGAAGCAACTTTTAAAATAAATCGAGTTTTTTCAAGGTATTTTTTAAATCCATCTAGCCTTTAATCAACTAGTTATTCTTTATTTACTTGTCCAAATGTTCTATGGGTGGATTTCCTAATGGGGAGGGGTAGTTCTGTACCTAGTTTGTAAACTCACTTACCTACACTGTAGCCTTAATTGTTCAACTTCCTCCCAGCCTCTTTACCTTCTCTTGAAATACTGGATTTAAGAAACATAAAGTGATCATTTACCACCTGTAAAACAACTTTAGAATTAACATTTCGCCTTTAAACTTTAGTCTGTACTTGTTCCCAGCACAACAGAGAAGTACATGAGGAAATCCATTACACGTCTGTGAACTTGCCTTCAGTAAGCCTTACTGAAAGATACCAAGAATCTGTTGTGAATATATGGTTTCAGAATCAGGTATATTGGCACATGCCTGTAATCGCAGCGCTATGGAGGGCTAGAATCCAAGTTACACCACAAGGGAGATCCAGGCTACTTTGAGTTACATAGGGAAACCCTGATTCAGTGGGGTCGGGAAGTAGCTCAGCAGTTGAGAACTTGCATAGTATGGACAAGGCCCTGGTTTCAATCCCCAGTGCCACAAAAAGAAAAGTATGCTTGCATGTGTATATGTATGTATGTATATATGTACATGTCATCCCAAAGAGCCTGTTGCTCCGATAAATACTAGCAAAAATTGTATTTTTACAGACCATGCACAATCCCACAATTCACAGCAGTTAGGTAAAATAACCCTAGAAGCCTTCTTTGTGTTATTAGTCTTTAAAATTTTCAAGTAATATTTTTCTTACTTAGGATGAGAAACAGCTGAAGAAAGAGCCTAGCCTGTGAAACAACTTTTCTAGCAATTTCTGCAGCGGCCCCTCGTTGTCATGGTAATTCCCGCTTAAACAACTCGGCCCGCCCACAAAGGTCAAAGTGCAAAGGAAAAGAAAGAAAAACCTCAATTATTTTCCAGGAGACAGGCCAATAGGCATCCCTCCAAGGATCCATCCCATTCAGAGAGTGGGCTGGATGGTCACAGAATGGGAACAATTACCACGGCAACGTGACAGCCCGGACACCGACTCCCAGCGTCGGAGCAAGCCAGGCCCCCGGGGCGGCCAGCTTCCTCCTTCACTCCCGCACAGCAACTCGGCTCCCCCCCAAGTCACCTCATGGCTACGCAGCTTGCAGATACCAGGCGATGGCTGAGCCAGGAGCCTACTTTCCAGTTTTGGGGGGCGGGGGAGACACAAGAGCCACAGAGACTTCAGGACCGCGTTGCCGGGCAACTAAAAGCACTCTTCCGCTTTAGAGCCACGCGAGTCTGCTGCGCAGGAAGTCCCGCCCAGCCCCCCCCCCGCGTCACATCCGCATCCAGGGCTGACGTGGGCTGGAGGGCGGGCGTAGTCTGGGAATCTTGCTCGGTGGGGGAGGAGCGCGGGAAAGGAGTTTGAATGTCTCGCGGGAGATTGCTGAGTGCTGGCACTGGGGCGAGCGCGATCGGGGACCCCGAGAAAGGCACAACCAGGCTTAGACTGAGTGGATAGAAAGAAAAATGTATTAATTGATTTCGGCTGCTGTCACCGAGGCGGAACGCTCTTGGCACTCAAGCCTTTGACAAATGTGTGTCTCACCAGTCTGGGTGTTAGGAGTCCAGACAGATGTGGCAGCCCCCCTCCCTCCCTTGGTTGGCGCGCCTCTCCTCTGCACTTGCTTCTGGCATAGGCTCTTTCCTCTAGCACTGTGTCCTCATCTGAGGGTTCCCAATTTGTTTTTACATTTGAGGAGGGGTCATTGTGTGATCGGAGGGTTGTCTGGTGTATCAGAGGATCAGCAGCATCTCTGGCCATCCCCCACTAAATGCCAGTGGTAGCTCCCAATTGTGACCGCAGTAAACGCCCCCCAGATAGTGCCACATGAACCCGGGAGCAAAGTAAGCACCAAAGGAGAAATATTGACTTAGAAGTTGCCGATAGTATTTCTGCTCTTATCCTCCCACTAATGGTATGAACATCATGATCATCCATCCCAGGGGTAAAGGAGGCTTGGAATTTTTCTTACAGGTGGCCACTGGCCCTTATCTCCAATTAACCATCAAAAAGCCCTGAAGTGGAAGGGATATTCAAATACCTGATACCTTTGAGTGAAAATGTTAAGGGCCAGCACCTTGGCCCTTAAGCCCTAGTGCCAACACACACACACACACACACACACACACACACACACACACACAGAAGACAAAAGGCTTAGTGGGTCCTCAAATACTCACTCACTCCAGGCAATGGGAATTATGCATCTGTTGGAGATGGCTCTATTCCATTAATCTTCCCAGTTGAATTTTAGTCATTATATAATTTAACTCACTTGAATAAAAATATTGGTGATGGGGAACAATAAACACTTAAAAGGTAAAAATCCCATTTGAAACTCCAGTTGAGGAAGAAATAGATTACGAAATGGATGACGGAAGACTGGATTGTTATGTTGTACCACCACCTGGTGGACATTTATGAACTCCATATTTCTTAATCCTTTGGTATTCATTTAATACTAGTGAATTAGTCCATTGTGTTGTAGCGCCACCTGGTGGGAATATATTTCGTATTTTCCCCCAGAGGAGCTTGTATGATTTCCTGTTGGACTTTTTTGGGGGGGTGGAGGAGGGAGAGTGTGAGGTGGGTGGGTCTGGGGGCTTGAACTCTGGGCCTGGGTGCTGTTCTTGAGCTTATTTTTTGCTAGGGCTAGCAGTCTACCACAGTGCCACTCTCAGCTTTTTCTGAGTTGTTTATTAGAGATAGGTAGGCACTCTACCACTGAGCTACATCCCCAGCCAGAGAGTCTTTGGACTAAATGATTGCTACATTGCTTTGTGATTATCTTTGGTAGATTGTATGAATGTAGTCATGTATGAACTTTTCATAGCAGCTTAAACAAATCTAGCCCACAGGAGTCCTGTAACCACATTATGGTATTTGGTATGAGAAAGACATTTGTTTTGCTGACTATTAATGACATCATTTTTTAACCTTTTAGTGAATATTTTGGATCTGAGAATACTCAGTGATGTTATTTTCTACATTGCAAATAGTTTAATAAAAGTGAACTGAAAGTTGTGAGCAAAAAAAAAAAAAAAAGAGAGAGAGAGAGAGTCTTACAGACCTTTCTGCCTGGGCTGGCTTCCAACGGCGATCCTCAGATCTCAGCCTCCTGACTAGCTAGGGTTACAGGCATGAGCCACCGGCACTGGGTTCAGGTGGACATTTCTGAATGTGATAGTTCCTCACCTTGTCTGCCATTTTCTTTCCTTTGACAATAGAGGAAAATATTTGTAACCTAGCGTCTCTGGGTAGTTATGTATGAATGAGATCCTTTCTCACCCACTTATTTCTTATTTGCCATTTCATTTCACACTGGAGTAGGTTGAATGAGGGCTTGAATTAGTCCATCTACTGGTGGACTTTTTTTTTGTCAGTTGTGAGGCTTGAACTCAGGGCCTACGTGCTGTCCCTGAGCTCTTTTGCTCAAGGTTAGTGCTCTAGTGTTTTGAGCCACAGCTCCACTTACAGTTTTTGAGTGGTTAATTGGAGATAAGTGTCACACAGGGACTCTTCCCCCCTGGCTTGGAACCGTGATCCTCAAATCTTAGCTTCCTGAATAGCTAGGATTACAGGTATGAGCCACTGGGCACCTAGCTTCCCAGTAGTCATTTATAAACCAATTCCTTCCTCACCCATTTGTCTGGTATTTTATTAGACTCCAGAGCGAATCAGATTACTCCTTGTGATATAGCGTCTAATGGTGCACAGTTGTTAATAGCACGTTTTCTCTCATATGTGGGAGCTAAATCCACAATATACCAGGACAAGATAACTTATACAAGACTCTAGGCATTCACACAGAAACAGTAAGACTGAAAGAGGATACTCTTAGTGGAAGATCCCAAAGAAACAACACCTGTGAACATTAAATATTATTTATCAAATTGAATTTCAGGAAATGGAAACATGGTTTTTGTGGCTGCTATTGATGGACATGGTGTGTGTGTGTGTGTGTGTGTGTGTGTGTGTGTGTGTGTGTGTGTGTTATTTGTTCTTTTACCTGTCTTTTGAGGACACAGGAGGGCACAGAAATGGCAGTAGGAAGCATGAACAAGTGTAGCCATGGTGCTGAGTAGACACTCTATTGAAAATTATGCAACTTGTGGGCTGGGTTGGGAGAGGGTAATTGAAGGAAAGCAAAGGAAGGGGTGGCATTTTCCAATAAAGAAATGCACTGATTACCTGAGTCATGAAAACAACTCCTCTTTATAGCACCTTAATAATACTAACACCAAGAAAAGAACGTGTTCCTCACTCACCTGTCATGGTATTCCAGACAGAAGTATATATTATTATTTTTGTTGTAAGCCACCTGGTGGTTCCTTACATTCCTGTGTGGCCTTCCATGACACTAGAAGAAGTTAGATTATTACTTGCAAGCCACTTGGCAGGGGGTTGTTAGGACCCCAGTCTGGCATTCTTTCGTTTAAGCCTAGAAAAAGATTATTGAATTGGAGCGCCACCTGGTGGACATTTATTAATGCAATTCTTTCACACCTTGTCTGGCATTTCATTTCACAGTAGAGGAGGGTGAACCGTTTCTTTTGTCGGAGTGCCTTCGTAGATTTTTATGAATGTGATCCTTCCTTGCTTTCTTTTCTGACATTTGCTTTCATTTTACACTACAGGAGTTTGAATTATTATTTCTTGCATTGTAGTGCCTCCTAGTCGACACTCATGAGTATAAGCCTTATTCTTGTTTCTTATATATTATTTGCTCCTAGTATCTCTTGGTTAAAGTTCACATTATAACTAACCCTCAAATGGGTTGTAGAAATACTTTAAAAGGTCCTCTCAGGTGGTAAAGACTTTAAAGTTTCTCTCTTGACATTCTTGATGTTTAGACCAGATAATTCTCTATCATTGTTGCCACTGATTGTTCTGTAAAAATTGGGCTACATTTATTTCTTCACCATATTTCTTTTTGTCATACTGCTATTTTTCTTTCATTACAATGATCTCCTTAATGTCACTGCAGACATTTCCCTATGCAATATTTGTTACTATTGGCCATGCCCTCTTTGTCTGCAATTAGAACCTCAACCCAAGACATTAGGCATAGGAAAAGTAAGAATTGTTCTAAGTATCATCTCAGGACTGGGGAACCTTTTTTTTTCTGCCAAGGGCCACTTGAGTATTTGTAACATCATTTTCATTCCATACAAAAGTATCACCCAAAGTTAGATGAACCGTAGATAAAGGATGAGAAACATTCATATTTATTCTATCATATGCCAAGTGTCTTTGTAGGCGCTATACAGTGTATAGGCTTGCTGTTTTCCAGTGCTGCTAAAATAATTACTATTTTTAGAGTATGTATGTATTCCTGGTTTTATTCCAGCACATTTATGCACCTACATACCATACTGTTTGTGTTTTACATGTGTATTAAATCAAATGTATTAAATAGTTCTTCTTTAAGATATTATTGTGTCATAGCCAGGTGTATTTTGGAGTTTAGGTTGCAGTACATTTAGCTAAAAATAACCTTGAGATCAACACCTATGAACAGTAAAGAAAGGGAAAGAAACTGGTTAGTTTCTCAACTATGGTATATTTATATACTCAGATGGGTGAACACTTGGTGATGAATATTACTGTCCTATGCACTGTAAAATGTTTAGTAGTATCCTTGGCCTCTATTCTCTAGGTGCTAGTAGCATATCACCTCCACACACTGGGAAATATTTGGGTTTGGGTGTCAAAAATTTCCCCAGCTGAAAACCACTGGGGTAGAGAGAAGGCTTGAGATGCTCTGTGAGTCTATTAGCAGCCTTGGAACAGCCGTGGCGATCTAGGAGCTAAAATGACCCTTCTGAGTTGCGGAGGGTCCAGTCAAGATAGCAGAGCCTTTATCCTCAGATGTTAGTCAGTCATTGGACGCAGGCCTTTGGTAAAGGATACAATGTTGAATGAAGTGGCCCTTTGCTATGGGGCAACAAGTCCCTTATTGAAGGGGGATCAAATGCATTCCACTTTTCTGTAAGATCTGATACTCTACAATTGTTAATTTACTCACCGTTATCCACTCAATGCTAAAACTCCCAAGAATTGTAACCATACCTTATTTGGTTGTATCATCAAAAGCCAAAGTACCACAAGGGAATAAAAATACTGGTTCAATGAACTGGGATGATATTTGTGGTTATTCGAATATTTACAACCTTAACGCTTATAAGCCAAAACTTCACCATGAATTTTATTGAGA